TAATAAATCAAGAGTCCATAAAGAAAGTGCATATTTACGTAATCTGCAGGAGCCTATTAAATACTGAAATATTTTATTCGGTGTAGACCAAAGAGAAATGACAGTATTTGCAAAATTCTGGACTTATCCATGGCAAATAATTTCACCGCGCAGAGGTTTCCAAAATTTTGACTTTCCTAAAATATCTCCAGCATGGATGTGTGTAAATATTTTGCCAAAACGGACTTAATCCATCTTTTCCTGTTTGTTGCTTAGATAGCTGGCATTTTTCCGGATGCATGTCTCTTACGGCAATCCCGCAAATGCAAACTGTCTAATTTCTTTCTCTTCCGCTCAGCTTTTTACTGTTCACTGCCTGTCTCACTGGCCTCTTCCGGTGCCTTTAGGTGATTACAGGCCCTGGAATATTCCACCCATTAAACGCCGTGAGCCCGACCCCTATCGACCGCCTACAGTGCCCTTTGAAGCACTGCCATCCTACCGGACGGAGTTTGTTCCACACTGTCAAGCACGTCCCAAGCTCATCAAACCGGACAACGAGCTTTCTTTCTCGGACAAACCCCTGGAGGGTCTAACAGACTACCGTCAAAATTATGTGCCACATCCGCTGGAGAAACGACCAGCCCCGCCAAAGCCTATCGTGCGTGCACAGGCCCCCTTCGAGGGCATGACGACCACGCAAGTGGACTATACTCCAAAGGAGTTTTGTACGTACTTTCCACCTCTCTCTCTACCCGTTTTTGCGGTTGTAAATTATAGCCCGGGAAACACGGGGTCAACTTTCCCTACCATAGCATCTACCACAGAAAATTTAGTGAACGGGGAAATTACCAGCCAAGTTCGAGTTAGCCATCAGAAGTTTACACAGTGTCCACAGAACCCTGACAGATCGATAAAAGTGATATGGTCTTCGGAGGGACGTTGCCTTTTTCGGGAATTGTCATTCGCAAGATGATGATCCAAGCATGCTGTTGAAGCACTTTAATTGAGGACCGTATAACATTTTTGAAGATGTTTTGACTTAGCAGTTCCGCAAGCTCAGACCTTCCTCCAGTCGTTTTGGCCATGAATATGTTTCTGACGTATGGGAGGAGAGTGAGGTGGGTGCTTATACAGGCATTTTTGGTCATTAATTTTACCAACAGAATAATTCATGAAAGAGTCTCTTATTGTGCCTGCACGCAAACTTACAATTAGCAGGTTCTAAACGGAGGATGTGAGACTTATAATAGT